TCTGAAAATGACTCAGGGAACAAGATGAGTGGATTGGGTACTCTAATTTTTAATGGTGGTCTTGAGTGAGTTTCCTATAATCGGTACAGGGACGGAGAGACTGGATCCTTTTTTTCAAATGAAAAAAATACCTGCCCTGGCAGGTGAGGAAAGAGGGACGGATGAATCCTATTGGCAAAAGGTTCACGTCAATATATTGCTTGGAGAGCTTTCAGTTCTATTTCGGATAGTGGGAGGGCTTTGCCCAAATGGTATTTCTGCCCTCTAGGAAGCAGCTCAATAGGGCAATCAATGTGATCGATGAGATGGTAAAGTGTCAGCTTTCTTCTTTATCAAAATACATCAAGGAAATGGTGGTAGGCAGGGGGGGAACAGAGTTGACTGGCAATCTGATGTAGGCTGAACTGAGAGTACACAGGGAAATTGGTGGGTGGTGCAAGTGCCGCAGTGCTGAAAGGCCCCCAGTAATTTGATGTGTGGTGACATTCTTTCTTGAGCCAGTTTGATTTAACGGATTGTGAGCTTTGCAACCAAGGTATTCCTAGGATGGCTGGAAACATGGGAGAGGTCTCCAGGACGGTTGAAGCAAAATGTTAATTCCTGATGGACAGAATCATTGTGTGGCTAGGATGGGAAATGGGTTTCTTGGGTAAAGGGTGTGGTCCTGAGCTATTAGGATTGAGCGGTTGCCATCTGCTATGAGTAGTATCATCAAGCCTTTGTGTTTTAGGAACAAAGAGGAATACTTAGGGCAGGTTCTGGGCAAGGGTGGATGTCCCAAGAAACAACTACAGGGACTCCCGAATGTCAATGATTGCCCACAACTGGACTTGACTTCCTTTCCAGCCACCATGTAATGACATTGGGTAGAATGACATGGGTGGTTAAGGTTCCGGGATAACTGGATATATGAATGGATGAGGCAGGCTGACTTACTTTTGGTCGCACTGGCAGTTGTGTAATCGAAATGGCCCATGGCCGCTATGACATAAATGTAAGACTTCAAGTAGTTTGACGATGATGATCATAAGAAATATTGTCATATGAAAAATTAGTTTCATGTCCATGTTATTAAAGATAAGAGTGTTCAGTATTCAGTCAGAGACATATGTTCACCAAGTTAGCATCTAAAAAGGACAGAGCATGCTCAAGGCTAGAGGTGACCACCTAGATGTCAATAAAATTAATGTCACCTATGTAGCCAGATGATTGCCACCTTCTTGAAATCCTAAAAAAGAAGAGTTCCAGCGCATTTTTGGCTTTGGGGGAAAAAAGTCAGGAGACCAGGAGAAGGTCTCCGCTTTGTCTGCTAGCTGTGATATTTATAATCCACAGATCAGAAGGAATATATTTCATCTCTCATAAAAGATATTCAATATTATATGCAGAGAGATAAAAATACTTTCTCTTCTGATTGGACACACTGTAAGCAAAATCTGCATGTAAAAACTGTATTTGTAGCCTCTGTGTAGAATCCCAGAGAATGTCACAGAAACAGATATATATGGTGCCTGATTGCAAAGCTGAACACAATTGGTACTGTCACCGATCGGTGATTGATGCGCTCTGGTGTTGGAAATTCTATCCCTGACTTGGTGATGATATTCAAACCATTTACTGGTCCAATCGACTTTAGGCACTTCAGTACCCCCCCGAATGTCCTGTGGGCTGGTACAGGAACACCCCCAAGGGTGATTGGCCAAGTTGGCTAATGTCTAGCCTACGTCCATATTTCAATAAATTGTAGGACCTTGAGATATGGACGGTGTGATTCGTATCGGAGCCGGTTCTATTTGACTGGTGAATTGCAGACTTTCTCTGACTTGCTCCATTCACAGAGATAACTCTTGGTAAAAGAGTTTTTATTTCTGTTTTTATTTCCCTTTAATGTTATAGTGAATAGCCAATTGTGTGTCTTTTTGTATGTTCTGTATTATCTGAAACATTTTATACTTTGTACATAGTTTTATATTCACTGCCCACTTTTGGATATTAAATCATAAAATTTATAATAAGTGACTTCTGGGTACTTAAGCTCCGGCTCATATCTCCAGAGAGATTATTGTATTACAGTGTCTATATATGCTCGGTTTAAGTTCATTGCCAATCTGTATGCAATTTGCACTGTGTGTGGGCATGTGCGTGCGGTGTGGATCTGTGACAGCCCCGCAGTAAAGGCATAGGGTTGCCTTGCCGTCTGCGTAATCTTTCTCTCTGGAGATAAGGATGCGGTCGGTAGAAGGCCAATTAGCATGGGTTCTACTTCAGGAGTGCCGATAGGCAGAGAGAAATAGAGACAGAATCCACTGGTCTTGGGAACCCTTGGCAGAACCCTTGGCCAAAAGGTCTGGGTACGTTTAGAACATCTCTCCCGTAGCCGTCAATCAATTGGTAGCGAGTTGAATTAGTTCTCCAAGGAGAGGGAGCCTCCACCCTAGCTAATTCATCCTTGAGGGACTCAGACAGACCTAGATGGAACTGGTATTTCAGGGCTGCGTCATTCCACCCGGTATTGGTGGGACCATTTGCGGAATTTCACAATGTAGTCCTCCACAGCCCGTCGGCCTTGTTGTAGAGCATGAAGGGTGGATTCAGCAGTAGAGGTCCTCTGGGGGTCATCAATAAAGAGCTGCCATGGTTTCAAAGAATGTGAGTCATCACTGAGTTCAGCGCTGGGTCTTTTTGTTCCAGTGAGCTGTGTGCCCTTGAGGTTTGTCAGATAGGAGAGAAATGATGAACCCCACTTTAACTGCCTCAAGTGAGAAGATCCTGGGTTGCAGTGCGAAATACAACTCACAAGCATTCTTGAAGGCTCAGAATTTACATTGGTCCCCAGCAAGCATCCGGAATGGTTAACTCTGGGTAGTACCAAAGTGGGTGTAACAGTGGAAGGCGAACTGGCTGGTGCCACTGTAGGGATAGGACTAGGCAATGGATTCTGGTCTGCAGAAGATGCAGTGGTAGTGAGCAAATGAAGACGTCCCTCCAGCTGAAAATATCCCTCCTGCAGATCCTTGACCACTTGTGTAAGTGCCGTCATCTGTTGGCACAGGGCCTCTAATGTGGAAGCACCTCTCTCGGCCTCAGACATAATGGCTGGTTGATACTATCATGTATCTGGTGAGAGACGCCAATGGAGAGAGGGCTTCGCTCTTGTGACTAAGTTCGAGACTCCCCTGAGAGTGGGACAGCAGGAGTCAGGACCAAAGTGGCACAGGTCACCTGAAGGAGTGCTTGTTGGTGGTCCACCCAGGAGCACAGCTGATGCACTGAGATGAGGTCTGCAGACAGGTGGCGCCTGTGCGAGGTATGCAAGACCTTACCGGGGAACAGGATTACTGGATAGCCGGTTCAAAGCCAAGATCCAGTACCGGGTGGAGATCAGAAGAGACGTAGTCAGATGGGATAGCTGAGGTCATACACAGAGGAGCAAGAGAGAATATCCGTTAGCCAAGCTGAGGTCATACACAAAAGAGAAAGAGAAAATATCCGTTAGCCAGCCGAGGTCAGGTCAGGGTTTAAGCAGAGAAGGCAGGTCAAGGAGCAAGCCGAGTCAGTAACAGGAAATCACAGATCACAGTAGCACAGGAACAGGAAATCACAGTTCACAGTGGACCAGGAACAAGGTACTGGGGAGCCAGAGATCAATCAGAACCTGAGAGTAGTGCAGGGCTTCCTTATAAAGACCGTTTGCCACCAAATTTGAGCTGATGTGAACTTCTGCAGCCATGCAAGGTATTGGCAGGGGTGCCAGGTCTTCCTAAAACCTCTGCTGAGGACAGAGCCCTGACATCTGTCCCCTCTACCCTCCGGCACCGCTCTGAACTGCACCCACAAATGGGCAAGAAGAGCCGGGGAAGCATAGTAGGTACAGGAGAGGTTTCACACACACGGGGTGGCAGAGGCTGGCACCTGAAAGGAGAGCCCTGTGGCTTGCCCTCACGCAGGGATAAAGATTAAAAACAATACTTGCCCGGCCCCCAGAACTACATGTCCCGGGCGTCGGGCGATGTAAAGTGACCATCCCTGCATGATGAGCCGACATTGACCTCACAGCACTGCCTCAGAGCAAACTAGTCATAGGAAGGATCAGATTTATCATTCCTTGTCTGCAGATCTAAAGCTCATCAAAACCAGTTTCAGAGACCAAACAAACCCAACAGAGAAAAGGGGCCCCGGACCTCAAAATTGTAGTAAACACTAAACAGTCCAAACAAAATGTCTTCCCATGGGGGGAGTAGTTCTTCAATGTCCAGCAACCCTCCTATTCCCCCCTCACATCCACATATTATTGATTGTGTGACCAATACCATCCAAATCATTCTTACTTTCATTTCCCAAAGTTATCCGTTCTACAAGGAGACCTGTATAGATCACATGATGGCACCAATGAGGATGGAGGAGTGGGACCGGAGTCACATGACTGAGAAGATACTAAACCTCACCCTGGAGATCATCTACCTGCTGACCGGAGAGAGGTGAGGAGATTCTGGGGAGGTCACATGACAATCACTGACATCTCTATTAATAAAAACACAGACCTGACCGGAGAGGTGAGGAGGATTCTGGGAGGTCACATGACATCACACTCTTATCTCTATTAATAATAAACACAGACCTGACCGGAGAGGTGAGGAGTGATTCTGGGAGGTCACATGACATCACTCTCATCTCTATTAATAAAACACAGACTTGACCGGAGAGGTGAGGAGGATTCTGGGAGTCTAACATGATATTCCTATTGGTTCCTCAATACAGAGATTTCCTCCTCTGAAGTCAGGTGATCATATGACCATCACAGTGCCTCCATGTGACTCCCTAAACCCTGAGAGACACAACATGCAGAAGATTCTAGAAGTCACCAAGAAGATGATGGAGCTGCTGACAGGAGGAGAGGTGAGCGGTTGCCGGGAATTCTGGGACATTCTCCAATCACTGATAGTATAATTAGGAATCTGTACATTATCTGCATTGTTACCATTGATGTCATTTTTTATTATATATTCAGAGTGGGAAACCTGAGAGAGATTCTAAAGTTGAGGTTAAAGAAATAGTAAAAGAGGATGAGGATGAGGATGGGGGGGATGGAGGAGTCAGAGCTTCTAAGAGAATGCAAAGATCTGTACCAGGACACCATGGTGGAGTCATCCAGCTACAGGAACCCACCAGAGAGATGTCCCCGTCCTCTGTATTCCCGGGATTCCACACAGGAAGATCACACCATCCCTCTCACCATCATCAGGTAGATGAGGAACAATCACTGATAGTATCATTAGGATCTGTAACATTATCTGCATTGTTACCATTGATAGGATTTGTATTATGCATTCAGAGTGGAATCCCTCGGGGATGAGAATATTGGTGTATGAAAGAGGAAGATGAGGAGTAAGGGAGTGATGGAGGAGTTTTTCAGAAGGACACAAGGATAATGATGGAGCCACCTCAATACCAATAACCCACCAGAGAGATGTCCCCGTCCTCTGTATTCCTGGGATTCCACACAGAACATCACACCATCCCTCCCCATTACAAGGTTGGGCCAGCAATGGTTCATATATTGAACCCGGGGGCCGGACCAAGAGTAGATGAATGATGTGTATGTCATCCTATTAGTAAGGTATAGTAATATTCCCCATA